AAAGAAGATAATAAAAAGAGTGGAAGACAAGGATGAAAAGTTGACTTTCCTGATCTACCTCTCCATGCACCCATGCATGAAGTGTCTTGCACATACACATCAAAGAGACTTAACTATGAACGCAATGTGAGATTTCATTTTCAGTTCTTACTAAATGGAATAGTTACATGGAGAGAGAAAAGGAACAGGCTGGATGTGAGAGGAAAGTGCAGAGTCATTCTTTCTCTTCTTGTGGTCAATGTGTCATTCCTTGGTATAGCTCTGCTTGGGACATTTTTCTGTGGAAACAGAATGAAGAAAATCAGATTTGTTTTAATACTATTGGTAAAATTATACTGAAATTGTATGCAAGACTCTCATTTGATACCAGGTCTTAGCAGGTTGCTTCTAAAAACATAACTGGTTTAGTGTTCCTGTTGTCTTCTCTCCCACCACTTCTGTTTCCAGTTCCTCTAATCATTATTCTACTTACTTCATTTGTAAGAGCTGGCTTAAACAATCCAACATTGCAAAATAGCATTTATGGAGATTGAAAGTTGTGGTAATTAATCATCTTTGGATGAAATTCTAGCCCAATGAAGTCAGTAGCAAAACTCATGCAGCTTCAAGGTTTCAGCTCATGGCATTTTAGTGCCATGAATTACTTGTACTCTGGATGTCTTTTGAAGTTTTGTGTACATTAAGGAGAAATATTGGGGTTGTGTGTTTGGTCATTAGGAAGGAATAAACAATGGCTGCAAGAATAAAAAGTTATACAGAGAGTAACAGTGTTTGGTATTTCTTTTGTCCCTGCAGACCTGAAGCCCAAATCAGTTTTTGTGACTGCTCTGTAAACAGTTGGGGATCTAGAAGTTGAGCCTTGCTCTTTCTGGCTAAGTAGTAGTCACAATTTAGCTCATGTGTGTGCTAATGATGCATGAGACACAAGCCAGAATTCTCCAAAGTTTCACTGGTTTTGCAGAACTAACCATAAAAAAGCTTTCCTGTATTTATGGAGTCTTAGTTACAGCTCACTGAAAACACTAGTAAGCTTCCCTTACTACTAGTTGATGTCAATGAACTTTTGGCTCAGATCCACAAACATCTGATTCTCCTATTCGAACTGGTATGACTCCATTATGCAGTATTCAAGAGTTTGTAACACTTCATCAGAATACACCATAGATAAATTGAAAACATGCTTATTTAATCCATGTAATAGGATCAATCAATTTTTTTCCCAAAAAAAATTTACTAAAGCAAAACCTAAGGGATTCCTTAAACCCCCAGGACCTGCACTAACTGGGCTGCCTGCAGTAATCCCTCTCTGGCCTTAGAAAGACAGGCTCAAATATTATTTCAAAGCACTTAATTTCTCCCCCCAACACCACACATTCTTCTTGAGTTTGTGGCACTGCCAGATATAGACAGAGTGAATAATCTTTGGAGAAGCTGCAGATGTCTTCTTCAGACTCTGGCAAGCCTTGGTCATTGATGAACAGCAGCAACTTTCTCAGTGATCAGGTTTGGGTTTTTTTCCTTTCTTAATGAAGCGGTCAAGATGGGACCACACGTGATGATAATACTGACTGGTCACAAGCAGCAACATCTCTAAATATCGTGAGCAGTGTAATGCCAAAGTTAACACCTGCAGTACCTCTCAATTTCTCACAATGGTTAAGAAGGTCCTTAGCAGACAGGAGAAGGAAAGAAACCAGGGGTACTTGTGTGATCTGCTCATGTCACAGAAGTCAGTAGCAAAAGTCATAAAACCATCTAGTAGTGGATATTTTCTCAGACAAGTACAGAATTTCTAATGAGGATTTTTCCCTCTCATATCAGTGACAATGTTGATTATCCTGAGTTCAAGGGGAAAATCCACCTTGCCTCTGGGCATGCAATAAATCATCTAATATCACTCTAAAGAATTGATCACCCATGAGGGGCCATGATCTCATCATTGGCTTGGAGAAAGGAGCAGTTGATACAAGGCAAAAGCACTCCTCGAGTATGTTGTATAACTTTTTGTATTCATTAAGATGCTTCAGATACAGAACAACCGCCTTTGTTCAATATTTATCTTTTCATCTGCCCTGACCTGGGAAATGAGAGCACTCTGAGAAGTTAATTGAAAGCTTGCTTTGTTTCATTTTAGCTTTCAGGTCTAAAACTTCACTTTCAGTAATGGTACTGAGAACACTTTTGTCCTGTCTGCAATAGCTCAGAAACCTTTTCCAGCAACAACTGGGAATTTGTTATTGATCACCATTGTCTTATTCCAGGAATTGTCCACTGAGCTGATTTTTCTTATTGAATGACAACAGGAACCCCCAGCCCAGGAAGAGGATTATTTCTCTCATATTTCCATAGTCAATCAATCACAAGATGCTCTACACAGGATTCCCATGTTGTCTGTCCTCGATGAGTCAGGGGGGTTTGATTTGTATTTTATTCTATCCTTCCTCATCCAAGTCTGCTTCCTGCCAAGAGAGGCTGAGGTCTGAGCAAGGATTGCAGAGACCTGCATTCAGATGCTGAGATGTAAAAGCTCCTTGTGTAACTTTCGTGAAATATTTGTGCCTGAACTAACATATATGAACAAACATACATGCATTTATATGGCAAAAATAAAGATATAATTTTGTTATTAATATGGTCCATACATTTTTGGGACCAGGGACTCTTTCTAACAGGATTTATATATATAGTACTTTTTGCAGTACTGTCCATACCTGCTGGCAGAAGAAAATATTTACCAGGGTCATATTAATTAAATAAAAACCCACAAGATTGCAAATTGACAATGTTATTTTGAGTAAAGTTTGAAAAGCCACTAGGTGTGGGACATGGAGGACTGAGCCATGAAGAAAGTGGTAGAGTATGTGCAGAGGTGCCAAGCCCCAGTGTTAATAAATCTTTGAGTCCTCTTTCAGGACAGGACTAGGTAGGTGAGGGCACAGCATTCCAGCATTAGCCCCAGTGTCCCTTAGACATTCTACCCTGACTAATAGGGGATAAATACTATTAAATACTAATGAATAAATTAAATACAAATAAATAAATATTAATAAATTGGAGAGGGGCTTTGGACAAGGGCCTGTAGGGACAGGCCAAGGGGAATGGCTTTAACCTGCCAGAGGGGAGACTGAGATGAGCTCTTAGGCAGAAGCTCTTCCCTGTGAGGGTGCTGAGGCGCTGGCACAGGGTGCCCAGAGAAGCTGTGGCTGCCCCATCCCTGGCAGTGTTCAAGGGCAGGTTGGACACAGGGGCTTGGAGCAAGCTGCTCTGGTGGAAGGGGTCCCTGCCCGTGGCAGGGGTTGGAGCCGGATGAGCTTTCAGTTCCCTTCCAACACAAAGCAGACTATGATTCCGTGATTCTATTTCTGATCATTTCTGAAGGTGGGAATTCATGGAGCAGCTGATGAATAATGATTTATCAATAGTTCCACGTTAACATTTCTTTGCATCACACAATGTACTCAACCAGCTCCACACTGCTCCCTTATTAGCACAGACCTCTATTTTACAACAGCTCTTGTATTTATGTTTCAAAGGACAAAGTAGCAATAACAAGAAAGCAATAACAAGGAGCCAACACAACTGAATGTGTCCTAAAACAAGGAATAAAAAAACTCAGCCAAGAATGCAGTGTAGATAAAACCATGTTATTTCCAAAGAAGGGATGAATCCCAATACTTTACATGAAGTGAAAGATGAAACAGTAGTTATTTTGAGATTGGCCTTAATTTGCTGGTGATACTGGTGATGTTAATAAAGTTATTTATAAATGTTTACCAGTGTGTCCAGCATCAGCTGTGATATCATACTCCTTAGTTGAAAACTCAAGTTTTCCCTTAAATGAGATGTGTTCAAAGAGTTCAGAAAGAAACAAAAACAAACACATAAAAATGAGGCAACACCACCATGTTGGTGCTGCACCATTTTTCTGCTTTACAGATTTTGGTCTTTTCATGTTACATTCCTGAATTCTTCTCCACAAGCCAAGGGTGACACACACCCGTTTTTGTCTTGGGTCTTTGCAAAAATCAGTGGGGTCCCAGTAATGGAGCTCAGAGAAACGTGATGCTCATAGTAAAACTTGGCACCACCTTAGATATACTCTCTACAGCAATACAGGGAGCTTCAAAAAGCCTTTGCCCTTAGTACTCTCTCTTGGTCCTTGTCTAAGGATTTCATGCAAATGTTTTATTCATTTCAGTCCAGAAACCACTGAGATCTTATATTTTTATTTTAATCCTTAATTATTCCAAATCTCTATATGTCTTAATATACTGAAAGACTAAAAATAACGACCTCAACACCCTCACCCTGCCCCAGGCACTTTGGGTTTTAATCTTTTTCAAGGGGGTTAATTTTAGACTTGGCATCTTTGCCCCATAAACTTCCCACATGTGGTTAAAGCTACAAGCCAGGTCCTGCCACCAGCCATATTTACCAGAAACAGCAGCAGAAATTTCCAGCAGAACAGTAAAGGGGCTGCAGTTCCTGTTGTTCTGCCAGTATATTTCATCTAAAAATATTATTCATCTTGCCAACCGCTTTAATGCAATTGGGGAATGGCAGAGCTGGGAAGGCAGAAGAAAAGCTCTTTGTTAAAGAATTTCAGCTCAGAAGTGACTCTATTTTCTATACTGTCTGCTTCTCTTTTCCTTTCCTTTCTGTATGTCCTTCTTCCCTGTTTACCCTGCCTGTTCTCAGACTTTTCCCAGTTGTATTAATTAATAGTTCTATTCACCAGAATACCTACCATTTAAGGTGCCCGTGCTTGACTTTTAAACACAACTTTTTAAAGTGAACTTGAACAAAGAGAGATAGTGTAAAAAAGATTGCCCTGCTGCAGGATTAAAATCCTTCCTGATACAACTACCTGGGTTTAGACCATGGGAGTAACCTGGAAATAGTTACAGGGAGCATGGCACACAGGCTCTTCCGAGCCAACCACAGCCACAATCTTTGGCTTTCCCTCATTTCGTTGACTCTGCCATTTCTTTCCTTTGTAGTTTTCTGTTGCTGAAGCAGAAGCTGGAAGATGATCAGAGAAGAAAGCAGAGACACTGAGGTCAAGTGTCCTTGAAGTCTGCTTGTGACTAATACAGCAATGAGCTTATTTGGGGAAAATCCAAAACCAACTTGTTCTGCACCTGAGCATGAAGGGTACCTGCTCAAAGAAGGGCAGTGGAGCTGGTGCAGGGGCTGGAGCACAAGTGTGATGGGGAACGGCTGAGGGAGCTGGGGGCTTCAGTCTGGAGAAGGCTCAGGGGGGACCTGATCGCTCCCTACAACTGCCTGACAGGAGGATGGAGCCAGGAGCGGCTGGGCTCTGCTCCCAAGGAACAAAGGACGGGATGAGAGGAAATGGCTTCAGGTTGTGCCAAGGGAGGTTTAGACTGGTTGTTAGGAACAATTTCTTCACTGAAAGAATTGTCGCATTGGAACAGGGTGCCTAGTGGTGGACTTGGCAGAACTGGGTTAACAGTTGAACTCTATAATCTTGCAGGTCTTTCCCAACCTAAGTGATTCTATGATTCTATGGTCACACTAAAGCAAGCAGGAGTGGGCATTGAAACCGACCCACTCCTAGCAGCAGAGAAGGAAAAAAACCCACAACACTTGTAGGGATTTTTTAATGTTTGAATTCACTTTAATGACCTGACAGCCTCTTATTTACAACAGCAGAAACCCTTCCAGGTGCTGTTGTGCACCAGGCTGGATCCAGCTACCATGTCTGCTGTGACCTTGAGAGGAGGGGATGAGAGGGTGGTGAGAGCTGGGATCTGTGCTCTGGCATGGGCATGAGCTCCCAGCCTTCCTCCAGCTTGATGCAGCTGGGAATGGGCCCTTTGGAGGATGCTTACAGGTGTGCTCTTGGCTTTCAGGCTAGGTCTCCATGGTTCAACCCAGGTGAGTGCCTCAGTGAAGCTTTGTGGTACTTCGGCAGTAGAAATAACCTGTTGCCTTCTATTTGCTCTTTTACATAGATCTGTGAGGATACAAGCAAGTAAAGAGAAGCAGAAGAGGCTAGATTATAAAACAAATTGTGGTTCAAACCAGGCAGAGGAAAGCTTCTATCAAGAGAGTTTTAACCTTCCACACGCTTTCATTTATAATTATTATTTATGATGATTACTACCATTAATTTGTTTAGTGAGCTGAGTGTACATGTTATCCTGGCAAGTGTCAATAAAATAAACAATCTCTTCCCCCTCCAAATCTAATATTCTAAAAGTGGCAGGATACTAACTAGATCTTGCACAACCTGATAAAATCATTACAGCCTGAAAATGGTGTAGTACAGAGGAGTCTTTTAAGAAGATCTCTGAAGGAAGAAACTGAAGGATGCTGACATACATTAATAGGAAAGCTGCTGCAGGCATATGCACAGGCTGAAGATGTGCAATCTGGAGTGTGCAGGGGACATGAGGCAGGGTTGAGGGCAGGCATGGGGAGGAGAAGGGCTGATCCAAGCCTTGCTGTTGAGTTAGGACAATGCTCAGAGCCAAGTAGGTGATTTTACTGGCAAACCAGTGTGGTGAATCCAGCCTCCTCATCAAGACTGCCATGCAAGAGAGATATTGCCTCTGAAGAAGGTACAGTTTAGCCTCGTACCCTTTGTCCGGGAGGCAAGGAGAGAGGACCAAAAAATGAGGAGAAAGAGGAGGAAATTGGTGATGGGCAATCCACAGCACCATTAATGCCAGGTTGCAAGATGAGCTACTTGCTTGTCCTCACTGTGGTGACATACGAGGAGTGCAGTGAGAAGGTCGCTCAGGCCCCCACCTTGCACCAGCAAATCAGGTTGAGAGCTGTTCTGTATTGTCTTGGCCAACTGGCAGCTATAAATGTACACACTGGGATGATCATTGCCTCCTTACAGTCTTATCTGACGGTCTCTTATCCAGTGGAGGAACAATATTGGGTCAGGCTGTGTAATAGCCAGCCCCAGAACAAACTAAATCAAAACTCCCAAGGGAAAAACATCTCTGATGTGCTTTGGTCCACCCCTCAGAGCTGGGTGAGCTTATGAAAACCTGTGCTGTGGTAAAGGAGTCTTATCTTCAACACATAGTATATGCACCACATGAAGTTGTGGCCATCTTACTCCACGGATTCCATCTCTGAGCCTTTTTGCTCTACAAGAGCAGTGTAAAGCAGGAGAGCTGACTCTTGCAGCTATGCACAATTAGGCGGAAAATGTGGAATATGAAGAAAAAATTGTGGCTATCCCAGTGTTACACATGATGGAGTATTTCCTTTCCAGCCTTTGATAGCATCCATTTGGACTTATGAAAAAGAGGAAAGGACTCTGTGTGCGTGTGTGATGGCGCTGGGGTCAGGAGAGCACTGGAGAGAGATGAATTCCCTGACCCTCTTCTTTGGAATCTTAATAACGTGTTAAGTTATTGTGCAGCAGAGGAATGCAATTAGCACAGCGGCCAACTCCTCCTCCAGCAGGTCATTACTGCATTAGTAAATGGAGGCTGTTAAGGCACACAGCATCCCTAAACATACCAGAGGGGCTGCTGGCCCAACAGGACCCAGGATTGATGAGAAAACTCCCACTGCTCTCTACCCTTCTCCATCCACTTTTCATTATTGCTTTTCTGATCAAGCATGCGACCACATCCTTCCCCTCCTCCCCCATACACTCTTCCTGAGACACGCTCCCAGGAGGCCTCTCTGGAAAATCCAATCACAACCTACTGAGAGCTGTCTGTGATATATGCAAAAGCAACCTCCAGCTGTGAAGAGCTTAGCATGGCCACAGGAAGCTTCCCCAGCCAAGCCAAGTAGGCAGAGATGAGGCTCAGAAGTGAGGTGCAGAAGCAGAGCAAGGCTGCTCTGTGTCAACTTGGATATGGAAAGAGATCAGCCCAGCCCAGCCCTGGGTGCTAACGCACTCACTGGTTTGTCCTGCTGGATTACAGGGAAATTCCTATCATATCCTGAGGTGCAGGTTACCAGCACTCTGCTGCTCAGGCTCAGTGGAAAGCAAGGAAAAGGGAAAAGGTTTCTCCACTGAAATCACTGGACAAATTAATCCTGTGGTTTCCTAGGTCGGACAAATGCCATCGTGCTTTGTATTGCTCCTGCTGTCTCTTGCATTAGCCTAAGCAGTTCCAGAGGAGCCCGGAGAACCCTGCGGATTGGATAACAAATGGCATTTGTTTTCACATGTTTTCAGTAATTCTGATTATTTTGAAACCATTCTGATTAGAATAAATGCAAGTTGGCATCTTTTTCCCATGATAAAACATAACAGCCTGAGGTTAGTCATAACAATGATGAGAGAACCGGCGTCTTGCTCATGATAAAGACCTCCAGCACAGCCAGGTCAGGACATTGATGGCCCCTCGTAACTGATAAGTTTTTAATCCATACGCCATGTCATCCTTGAAACATTCTACAAAGTGCACCCATATTGCATGAATTTTGTGCCCACCAAAGTGCTGAAGATTATTTTCAGCAAGCTTCAGGATGACACCATCAGAAACAACCATGTAAGCTCTTCAAGGAGATGGGGAAGGTGAAAATCACTGCTACTGTTTCCTTATTTCATCGAGAAGTGAAGAGCTGACTCTAACAGATATCTGACTCCTTTGATAAGATACAACCCAATGAAATGACATCTCATAAGGCAAATAAAAACACAAGGACGGAGTAAGAAAGCAGGTCTCCTAGATTGTGGCACTCTTGACCAATCGATGTCTTCAAACAAGCACAGCCATGTTCAGGTGATCACTGCCCACTGGTCATGGAGACCACTGCAAAACAAATACTCCAGATTTCTTATTGTGCATGCCCAGCAAGTAGAAATGTCTGCAGTAACAAAGGGGTATGTTCTATACAGTCAAGAACCTGTGAATTACAGACCATAGGACATGCTTATAAGTAAATAGAACTACAGTTTTAAACATATAATGACTTTTTTTTTACCAGAGTACTGTCTCCAGCTTCTCAGTATTAGAGACCATGTTTATATTGCTATGCAAATTATTCCTCATAACGAGTTTACAAATTTTATGTTCATTAGTAATAGCTTTATGAGCTTTTCCCTTCCTGTTTGATGCTATCTATAGTGCTCTGGTAATACATAATGAATGTTAACTGCTTGTGCTCTGGCCGTCGTGCCAGTTTACATTAGGATATTTTTCCATGCCTTTTGTTTCTAGCAGTTGGAAATTGGTGTTCAGTGGGAATGAAATAGCCAGATTACTTCATGCTGCTCCTCCCAGGTTTTTCATTTATCTGACTGATAAGGTGCTGGTGGATTAAATCACCAACTTCTCTTGTTTTACAGAATTGGGTTAAATATATGTTTAAGCTTTGGCAAGTACAGTAATTTGCCTTTGGGCCAGGTCTTAGCCACAGACTCAAAGCCCCCCATGACCCATCTGTGTGCTCTCATAGCCCAGACTCCCTCCCCTCGTGTGCCGGGCTGCACCCCCAGAGCGTGAGCAGCAGCTCAGGGAGGGGATCCTGCCCCTCTGCTGTGCTCTGGGGACAGCCCCTGCAGCCCTGATCCAGCTCTGGGGCAGCAGCACAAGAGGGATGTGGAGCTGTTGGAGCGAGGCCAGAGGAGGCCATGGAGATGCTGCGAGGGCTGGAGCAGCTCTGCTCTGGAGCCAGGCTGAGAGAGCTGGGCTGGGTCAGCCTGGACAAGAGAAGGCTCCTGAAGGGGAGACCTGAGAGCAGCTCCAGTGCCTAAAGGGGCTGCAGGAAAGCTGGAGAGGGGCTTGGGACAAGGGATGTAGGGACAGGCCAAGGGGAATGGCTTGAACCTGCCAGAGGGGAGACTGAGATGAGCTCTTAGGCAGAAGCTCTTCCCTGTGAGGGTGCTGAGGCGCTGGCACAGGGTGCCCAGAGAAGCTGTGGCTGCCCCATCCCTGGCAGTGTTCAAGGCCAGGTTGGACACAGGGGCTTGGAGCAAGCTGCTCTAGTGGAAGGGGTCCCTGCCCGTGGCAGGGGTTGGGGCTGGATGGACTTTCAGGTCTCTTCCAGCCCAGACCATTCTACGATTCTATGATCTATTGATAATACAGCCAGGATAGCTAGATGCGATTCTCAGTGGTATTTTCATATCACAACAGTCCTAGGTAGATGCAAATACATGTCAGACAATCCCCCAAAACTGCCTTTCCTAATAAAATGTATTTCTGCTGGGAAACCGTCATAAACCAGAGTACCAATAAAGTAGTAGAATGTATGGTCCAGTTTACATGTCTGGACAGACAATTCCCTTTGCAACAGACGTAACCTTCCAGGTCAAGCGGCTTATTTTGTGATAGTCACCAGTTTAGATTAATTGTCAGTCTCAGTTTAAATGGCTGGAACAATATGGCAGGGGTGCATGTGTGATTGCAGTGATAGTGATGGAAGGAAGTTTCAGATGGGGACAGAAGCGCTTTGATCGAGCCGTCTGTATCAGCCAACCTGCTCCCTGCTTGTCAGGCTAAGCTCTACCTCGTTGCACAACATGGGATTGCAACCTTTATCTGCTGAATGCATCTCCCAGAGGTGTAAACACCCAGGAGGTCTGCTGCTTAGTGAAGAACATCAGCACGAACGAAACACAGGGAAGGAAAACCCAGCACTAGCAGTCTCTGAAATGGAGCCTCTCCAATCCCTCATGCTTAAGCCCTGGGAAGCTGTAGGTGTCCCCTCTATTTTGAAGCAAGATGCTCACAGAAACATTAAACTCTGGAACCAACTTTTCACTAAGGCGTATCCAAGGCAGCAGCTTCCCTCCCATCAAACTACCAAGGGTACTAATAAAACTTTGGGACGCTCCTACGCTGATGTCTGAAGTGCCATTAACTAGCTACAGGCTAATAGACCCAGATGACACCACCTTCCCTTTGTGTTAAACCAATTATTAAACAGAAGTTCAAGATGGAGCAACTGTGTGGTGATGGGAGATTTGAATATAGCAGCTTCAAATCAGTCCCACGTACTGCTTCTTGGTGAGGCATCAAGATGAAATAATACCCATTTTGGAAAATTAATTTATCAGGACAAAATTCTACATGCTCTGTACCCCTAAGGGAAGAAAACACAGGGAAGTCCAATCCCAGAACATGGCCAGATCCCGTTGCTGCAAACTGAAAGTTTCTGGACACTTCTTCCTGCTGTGAATTTATGAGCAGAGACATCTACCTTATATACAAGAGCAAGATTCAGTGTAGAATGAAGTCGCATGATCTAACACTGCATCTGTAAAACAGGCTATTGAGTTTGATCAGGTTACAATTCAAAGCATTTTAAAAGTTCTAATCCCATCTCTGTCATTCATTTCAGTGATACGCTTTTGCTTTTGTGCAATAATAGCAGACTGTTGTGCCATTTATGTGCCCTGGCAAGTGTTGCAAACATACTTTGCAGGTTCCCTTGCACTAGGAAAATGGGGTTTGTGAGACCAACCCAAACCAGCCTGGGGATCTGT